GTGGCTGCTCTGCCTGGAGGTGAAGTGTCCTTACAAACACAGACAGAGACGGGTGGAAGACGCCTGCAGGGATGACCCTGCCTTTTGTCTGGAAATACATGAGGACGAGGATGGACGGGAGCCCAGAGGGGTAAAAACATTTTATTGTCCTGTTGCCAGTGGTGTATCCTCTCCTTGATCTCTGTGTCTTGTCCCATCCTTCTTCTGGTTAATTCCCCAAACCCCATCCTGTTTTTAACTTGTGCTCTGGTCCTGTGTGTCCTCTACCTGTCTGTCATGTCCTTTGGTACATACCAAGTCTCTTTTATTGACCCACGTTTCCCTCGCTTCCATTGTTTTCTTGCATCTTAATCCCGTCCACATAAGACGTGAGGAAAAAATGTGAGATGCACCAAGAAAATGCGTTCACAGAGCCATGAGAGTGCCCTTTCCTCCCATCCTTCATCGGAGGCATCCAATTATTAACTCACTTCAGGTAAAGGGGCGCGCGCTGGTTCATAAAAGACTCTTGTGAAGGATGCTCTCATGTATAATGTACTCATCGCTCCCACAGCAGCCTCCCTGCTCCTCTCTCGACCTGGACTTTTGTTCCAGTCAAGTGAGGGTCAAGGAACAATAATGTAAGACTTGGGATGTACCCCTTGTCCTTAACATCCTGTCTTCGTTGCTAAGCTAACGTTTTGTCCTCTCCCCATCTTCCTGTTCCAGCCCCTGGTATACCATCTGAAGAGGTCTCACAGTTACTTCACACAGATCCAGTGTCAGTTAGCGGTGACGGGTCTGCGGAAGGCCGACCTTGTCGTCTTCACCCTAAAAGAGACAGCTATTGTCCCTGTGACGTTTGACCCTGACCTGTGGGCTGAAACAGTGTCCAAGCTTGAGGTGTTTTATAGGGATGCCATCCTGCCTTACCTCAGAGAGAAGAGAGGACTAGATATGGCAGCAGCCTGGACACCAGAACAGTAGAGGACAATTTTTCGGGTTTGACGGCCTCTGACCTATCTCTGTCTGTCGCTGTCCACCATGAGATTCATCTCTGCACATTGTTGTTTTAATCATGAGAGGACAGAAGTTTTCAGGTTCTGTGGTCTTATGAGTCCTCCACACATTTATCAGAACCTTCCTGTGAGACTCACCTTGGACTCTTCACAGGGTTTGAATGGTCATGGTAAATTAATAGTTAACAAATGTCACTAGAATCATTTACTCTGAAATATAGTTATGGATAAAATAGTATAAAAAGAAAATAAAGTACAAATATCTCAAATACAATACAGTACCTGAGTAAAGGTACTTTGTTCCTCTCCACCTGTTTTTCAGCTGTCACAGCTCCTCTAGAGACATGAAAGGCTCTTTACCTACACAGCTGTAACATGAAAGGCTCTTTACCTACACAGCTGTAACCTGGAAACACCTCTGGACTGATGCTTTAATCCTCTGATTATGTTGCAAAATCCTGGCCATTAGAGCCCAGCTTGATTTTTTGAAATCAAGATTGAAATTTTTATTTTTAGTAATTATGCAATGAAGTACGGGGCAGCAGTTATCGCTGCAGGTATTTTCTTGAATTGTCCCAATTCAGTTTTCGTCATTTCAGGCTTCCATGTAGAATAAGGCTGCACTGACCTGCAAGGTGTGTACTCAATCTGTACGTGGACGACAATGTTTGTAATTTCTTCTTAGATTATGAATCTTCTGTTGTAGTGGTGGGGGGAAGGAAGAGTTTCAGGGGGTGGATGTATTATGTGATATAATGTGGACATCTCAGTAAAAAAAGTGATTAGGAACCAGTAGAAGAAGAGAAACTGAACACATGATCTGATGGTCTTTATTGTGTTTCTGTCTCTGAATGGAAATGTAACGTTTGACGCTCAGCTCCTACCTGCATGAGTCAGTGATAAAATGCAAAATAGGCTTTAATGTGACGAGGACACAGCCGATGGATGTCTAACTTCTAAAATTAACTCCGAGTCGTCCACAACTCTTCCTCCAGAGTTTAATGTGACCTCAGCAGGCGAACGTTAACAGCCAATCAGCTCGCAGCAGGACACGAGAGTTCAGAGAAGAAAACGTCCTTCAGTCTGCTCTGACAGCTGACTGGCTGCTGTGACAGGTCTTGAGGGGGCAGGGTTATGTTACTGAGGGGCGTGGTTAGTCAACAGTGGGCAGGGCATCACAGGTAACCCTCCCTCCTGAACTGTTCATGCAGGATGTCTCGGTACTCATCAAAGCCGCCATCGATGCGTTGAACTTTCCCGCCTTCACACACCCACAGCTCCTTACACACCATCCGGATCAGACGTTCGTCATGTGACACCAAGATGACCCCACCCTGAAACACACAACATCACACCTGAGGAGATGCACGACAGCACATCAGGACGACTTCAGCAAACTGAGTGAACAGAGTTTATCGGCCAAAGGTGGAAGCTGATGATCTTGATTCATGATGAAATATTTCTGATGCTAATGACCACCATCGCTGTAACTTCCTGGGAGCTGCATGTTTACAAATGTGCTGATGCTCACATCTTTTCAACTATGGATGTAATTGCAATATCACGACAGAACATTTTCTCGATACCATGGTGGGACTGCGACAGGATATTACATAGGGTTACTTCGCTAGTATAACTGTGTCCAGGTCACAGAATTTAAACTGACACAGCGGATGCTCCATCATCGACTTTTACAGCTGTTGTGTCACAGCATTTCAGTTTAGGAGTGGATACATCTCTCAGAAACAGTCGCGTCATGGCTGTGTACAACACAAATGGAGATGGGCAAACAAACCGGACGCACATATTCAAAACCAACCATTTAGTAACCGCCCTTAAAGTCTTTATGTACTGAAACAGTAGACCATGATGTTTGAAAACACCTCTAGTAAAGCGCAAATCTCACCTTTATGTGGCCATGGATGGTAAATGGACTGTATTTATATAGCACATTTTTCACAGTGTGTTGCACTGGCCAAAGCGCTTTACAGGAGATCATACACCATTCACCCTTTCACACACACATTCAAATCAAATCAAATCAAATTTTATTTGTATAGCACCAAATCACAACAAAAGTCATCTCAGGACACTTTACAAAGTAAGGTCTAGACCTTACACCGATGACGACAAGGCTGCCACGCAACGGCGCTAGTCAAGCCACCGGGAGCAATTCGGGGTTCAGTGTCTTGCTCAGGGACACTTAGGCATGCGGGGAGACCGGGAGTCGAACCACCAACTTGCCCTACCCCGTGAGCCACAGCCATTTACCTTTATGTGGCCATAGAAGTCTGTTACAGACTGACACACCCCTTTATCAGAAATCAGTTTGTGATTGGACGCGTCACATCAAGGCCTGAGGAAGGGACATCCCATGTCAGTTAAAACGTTTCCTTGTTCCTCACAGTTTCTCCTTGCATGTTACATGAGCGGGACTAAGACACAAGGAAAAGACAAGTGAGGGGAAACGTGGATGCAGTTAGTGGAAATGGGATCCACCCCTAATGTATTTTGTGTCATCTTCTCATTCTGGTGCACCACTTTGTTCAATAGTGGGATTGAACAAGATCAGGAGGTGGTACGTCTCACATTCACACACACACACACACACACACACACACACACGTAGAGCAGAATATCTGCAGGTTTTTGCAAGTTAGATTTAAGACTTTTTTAATGCAAGCCAGGATGAAATTCAAGACCAATTTCCAGTAACAAAATACCTAAAGTATGCAATGACTGAACACATCACACAGACAGCAATGGAGGTTTTCTAGATAAAACAGCTATGTTTGTAATGTTTGCCACAAACATTACAATAAAATATTCTTTGTGACATGTTAATCTCATGAAAAGTTAAATTTGCCCTGGCAAAAACCAGAGGGCTTATTTAAAAAAATTAGGGGCACTAAAGAAATAATTTAGCTGGAAATGCAAGAAATTGACCATAAAATCTGGTATTGTATCAAAGTGTTTTCCTCGCCCGGATGTTTCTCTCCTGTTAAACACCGTTTCCCTTAGCGGCCCCATCAGCGTTAAGGTCAGATTCACGGTAAGTTACAAGTTAAAATCGGAAATCATATCATGGACATTCTGTTGTGGTAATATCGTACTGTGACTTTTTGGTATTGTTACACCCTAGTTGACCTAAAGTGCATTTTTTTTTTTGCTTAGCTTGGAAAGTCGATCAGAGGCAGAGTAGTATCTTTACAAAATACAGGTGTTTGTGTGCACCTCCCAACTCTGATGCAGGGCGCCCACTCTCAGAATTCTGTTTTTTTACATGACCCCCTACAGAGTTGCAGGTAGTCTCCTGAGATTAACTCACCAAATGAAAAATCTACATTTGGAGCCTGCCATGTGTTAATTCTGGACCCTTCACACCACAAAAATAAGATCTGGTCTTCACACTAGTATGATGCATTCTAATGATTTTAAAGGAGCAACAAATCCATAACAATGAGAAAAACTGGTTTATTTGCTGTGGTTAGCACTAGAGCTAACACCTGGATTAATGTGAACACTGTGAAGCTGTTCTTCCTCTTCTACCCTGACCCCTAAAACCAGGTCTGAACCTTCAAACAGCCCATTGAAGGTGTGAGGACCTGACAACACGTCCTCACAATGATAGTTTAGACCTAAAAGTAGTCCTCAAAGACAGCAACACAAGGCCACGCACATAGACTCACTTTGAACTTGGTGAGGGCTTTAGCCAGAGCCTCGATGGTCTCCATGTCCAGGTGGTTGGTCGGCTCATCCAAGATGTAGAAGTTTGGACTGAAGGACAATAGACAGACGTCATCATCATCATCATCATCATCATCATGAGACATGCTAACAGTGCTGGCCTGAACTCTGTTACCATGGCATGGTCATCTGTGCGAAGGCAACCCGGCTCTTCTGCCCGCCTGACAGACTGGCCACTGGCCTCACAGCCAGTTCTCCAGTAATACCGTAGCCTCCCAGCTGGTGGCGGTACTCCTCCTCCGTCCGACCTGCCACACACAAACAGCCAATCAGAGCTCAACATGCAGTTGTAGCTGTTGCTGTAGTTATTTTAGCTGTAGTTACCAGGGAACTTGTTGAGCAATAGCTCCACAGAGCAGACGTTCAGGTCCAGCTGGTCCACATGATGCTGACTGAAGTAACCGATCTTCAAGTTCCTGACGAGACAAGACAACAAGACATGAGTCTGTTTAAATGGCTGTTACAACAAGTTACCTGTTCCCTCACGGTTCAGAACCAACTCCCCGCTTCTTTATAACACGCTACATAAGCACTGCCCTACAGATGCTTTGCTAATTGTTCTCCCACAGATGGTTTATTCTAGATTCCTTTCAATCAGCATCTGCATTTAAAAACTGTTCCCACAAACTTCACTATAAACCATCTGTGATCATTTCTGTACAAAACATTCCCCTATAAACCCGGAACACCTCCCTAGGAAGGCGCCCAGGAGGCATCCGAAACAGATGCCCGAGCCACCTCAGCTGGCTCCTCCCGATGTGGAGGAGCCCCAGTGTGTAAACAGTACCAAAAAACACTTCAATATACAGGTCAACAGATGGAGGTGAGTCCTCTGCTCTGATTGGCCGGCTGGCCTTCTCACCTGTGAGCTTGTCTGACTCCGCTGACTGGCGTCAACTCGCCCATCAGCAGTTTGAGGACGGTGGTTTTACCAGCGCCGTTTTCACCGACCTGACAGGAAACACAACACAACACTGATACTGCTGTATTGATCGGTATGATTGGTTCTAGTCATCCGTGTGATTAAACCAACACAACAAACAGTTCACAAATGGTCAGGTTATTCATATTTTTACATTAGGTTCGAGTTCAGCCTCCTGGCCTGAACACCCTGGATCCTAAAGACTCGAGTCGTATCAGTTCATTGCTTTGTATGAAAACAGGTGTGTAGTTCCTGATTGGTCGATTATACTGTTCATGATGACACATACAATGCAGATTCGAGACTCGAGGTCGGCCGACAGGTTGAGCCCAGAGAAGAGCCGCTGGTCTGGAGTGTAGTAAAACTCTACTTCATCTAACTGCAAGATGGGAGGAGACAACTTCTCAAAGTTATCTGGAAACCTGCAGGAAGGCATGACACATCACTCAGTCAATTGGTCAACCAATCAACAGCTAAGAAGACAACAGACAGTGCAACCAAAACAATGGTCAGGTAAAAACTAGTTTGTTTTGTGATCAAAGACCCAATGCTCACCAAGAACTGAAACAGGACTGAATGTTGAAGAACACATTAACAGAAATTCTCTAACATAATGATAACCTTCTGCAGAAGGTTTCAAATTTCAAATCCTTAAACCGGACTTCAACCAGTCTAATCAAGGTTTCCTTCAGCCAGTGGGGGGACAATGAACACCTGAAGGTGTCAGGTTTCACTGACAATGACAGGACTGTCCTCTCACCTTAGAGTGACCTCAGTTTCTTTGTCTACAGGCTTCAGCTCAGGTCTGCAGGAGGAAACAACATCATTACTCCAACGTCCATGCATTTATCTTCATATTTATGTGACACAGGCTCGTTGGGACTCACAGTCTCTCCAGCAGCTTCAGTTTGCTCTGGACCTGAGCTGCTCTATTGGCGTTGTACCGAAACCTGTCAATAAAAACCTGAAAAACAAACACTGTCAGACGCAATGCATTCTGGGACCTTCCTCCACTTTATTTGTGAATCAGAGTTGTTCTCCAGACATCTGACAAGACTGTACTGTCTGTACTGCAGCACTGGTACCTGTATGTGTTGTCTGTACTGCAGCTGGGCCTCATACTCTCTGTGTTGGTTCTTCAGTCTGTCTTCTTTGGTTTTAATAAAGTTTTCGTAGTCACCACGGTAACTGTCAAGCCTCTGGGAGTGCAGGTGGATGATGTCTGTTACCACAGCGTTCAGGAAGTTTCTGTCATGGGAGACGACTAAGATGGTGGACTGCCACGTCTGAGGAAGGAGGTATTATTTATTATTGATTAGCTCATGGCTAACTGTTCTCATTGTTTTCAATGAGGAACGCTAACGTGCATGTAAATCAGTGCTCAGACCTGAAGGTAGTTCTCCAACCACAGGATGGCTCTGACATCCAACATGTTGGTGGGCTCTGAAACACAAACACGATACCGCTGACACTACAAATACTAGTAATGACAATACTAACATAATACTGCTGCCACTAAAAATAGTGCTAACCAGAATACAACTACCTTCTACTGATACTACAAATACTCTAAACAGAATACTCCACCTAATACCGTTACTGACACTACCCATCCAAAACTACTGCTACCATTCCAACTATTTGTACTCGTACTACTACAGCTTGAATACTGCTAATCTTACTCATTTACTTGGTCATAATAGAAACTCATTGATCTTAAATCAAATTTAAATAATCCTCAAACTGCCTAATGTCTCAATATTCACCCTTCTAACACACAACCACTTGTTTAAACCAGCACTGATGGATGCGGTGTTCTTGGACAGGAAACGGAGCGGATTGTGTTGTACTGAAATCTTTATGTTGATAATAAATTTGCATCACTCCAAACTAAATACTCAGAATCTCAGAATTTGTGGTCAAACTCAAGGGTCAGCTTGTTTGGTTTGGTTTCTGCCTTTGAGGGAGGCCTTGTCCAATGTACAGAGCTGCTCTATTAACTCTAGATATAGATGAATTCAGTTTAAAGTCCTACACAGGTTGCATTACTCCAAGGTCAGCCTTAGTAAAATATTTAACTCAGTTTCTCCCATGTGTGACAGGGGGGTATTGCCATAGCATTGCTGTCACTGCACCATACTCCATAATTTTTGGACTGATACATTTGATTGGTTTTCCAAACCAGTACTCCTACTACAGTCTGCAGTGTTGGCACTCACCATCCAGCAGCAGAAGGTCTGGCCTGGTGGAATAAATACAACACAGTCAGACAGATGTTCATCATCTGGACATCCTGCTGCAGGACTCACACTCACTGAAAATGGTTTATGTGGGAAGATTAAAACTCACCGAGCAAACAGGGCACTGGCCAGCGCCAGCCTCATCCTCCATCCTCCTGAAAACTCCCTGCCCATGGACGCACACACACACGGTTATTATATGGTGTTATACTGTATACTAAGGTTGTGGTTGGGGCTAGGGTAAAGGTGTAGATCTAATCTATAGCAAATGAGTGGAAGTGTTAAAATGGACTCACTTTGTGGCCTGTTGTTGCATCTTGGGAGAAAATCCAAGACCAGCCAGAATGACAGAGGCTCTGATTGGATGAGACAGATGTCAATCAAAAACACATCAGTACAGTGAGAATTACAAAGTGAATCAGATGGACCATTTTATCAGACGGTGTCCACCTGTTGTTACAGCCACAGATGTACCTGTGTGAAAACACCCGTGTCTGTACCCGAGTGTGTACTGACTAACCTGACAAAGTGCCTAACAATAACAACAATGATGAAACACTGATATATCAATCAGATCAAAAACAGCTGCAGTTCTGTACTGAAAGGTTTTTCTGTACACAGCAGCAGTACAGTTGCAGAGTTGTACTAATGTGATGCTAACTGTGTGGTTGCCATAGTTACCGGGCCGGGGCTTTGTCGGCCTCGATCTCCTCCAGCTTGCCATAGATCTCTGAAAGTTGAACACTCTCCAGCCCGTCGGCACTGGGACAACAACAACAGACACTGATCAGACACAAACTGAAGATGATGCCGCTGGCGTCATTGCTCTGCACTGTCCGACATCACAGCACTAGGTGGGTTTATCCACTGCCTGGCAGCCGACTGGCCAAACACACCAGCTGCTGTTATGTGACTGTTAGTTTTTACTTTACCACTGACAGCAATTTCAACATGTTTGCATTTTGACTGTTGCTCTGACACAACATGTCATTACAGTATGTTCATTCAGCACAAGGATTAATGAAGACATTTTCACTATTTTAACTGAATGTGCAGATTCTCAGTCATCCAGGTCATAGTAAACTGAAAAAACCTTAGAAAAAAATCAACTGGACTAGATTTCTAGATCGAAGACTATTTATCCCCCTCGGTGGTGTTTCAGTCCTTAGAAGGCCAACAATGTCCCTTAATGACTGAGTCGTTATAGCCCAGTATCGGTGAGAGTCGTTACCCGTCTTTGAATCCTCCCCTGTCGACTGACGCCTATTGTCCCGGTGGGCATGTTTGGGCAGAGATCTCAAAACAGGATTGTAGATGGATGACAAGTTGTGTCTTAGTCCACCACCCCTATTTAGTGAGGGGTGTTCTATTTTTACAAAAATCGCTTCAAAGGACTGAAACACCACCGAGGGGGATAAATATCTCTGGCTCAACACCAGTCAGTCAGAACTGATGAAGCCTCTTGGATGAGAGGTGAAACGTCTTCGACCTAGAAATCTAGTCCAGTTGATTTTTTCTAAGTTTTTTAACTTTATTTTAACTGAACAATCAATTAAATGTTAAAGCAGTTGTGTCAGACGTATTGATAATAAAAAGAAGTGCTGGTTGCAGGCTCACAGTTCTCCTGTGATGGAATAAAACAACGCTACTGAAGTTTTAAAGTTTGGTTTCTGTCGACTGAAGCTATCAATCTCAGGTCTAAATCTATAATGAACATTATTTCAGCAAGTTTAAATGTTCTACATAGCTCCGCTTACGTTCCGTTGGCAATGCGAGCATTGAGCCTCCTCTCCTCATCCAGCAGCTCTTCTCTCAGCGTGTCGCTCTGCAGGACACTCTGCAGTGCTGACGTCTCGTCGCCTGCCACTTCCTGTTCCACATGAAGGATGGAGATGTGAGCGGGGACATGGAGGTTACGACTCGCCAGCATCTTCAGCAGCGTTGTTTTCCCCAAACCATTACGACCAACAAGACCGTACCGTCGACCTGACGCCAGGGAGAGCTCCGCCCCCTGCAGCAGACACCTGGACACGGAAACACACACGCACAAAAAATTCTATATATACAGAAAAAGATAGAGAGAAAACACTCTTATTGAAAAAGTTTTCTGTAGTTGTGCCCAGTGTGGACCGGCTGTAAACATGTGCAGTGTTTTTGACATTTTTCTCTAAGAGCAGACGTGAAGCTGCCCAGTATGACCAGTCTGGACATCAGCGGCTCTCTGATTTATCCTGATTGTTTGTTTGTTGTGTCTTGTTCCTTTTTCTCTCCTTAATCCACTCACCCCAACCGGATGATGCAGAAGGCTGCCCAGGCAAGAGGTTTCTTCTGTTAAAGGGAGGTTTTCCTCCCCACTGCCGCCAAGTGCTGCTCAGGGGAATTTGTTGGGTTTTTCCCCCTATAATAATACTAATAATAATAATAGTAAGGTCTAGACCTGAGTTTGTAAGGTGTCCTCAGATGACTTATGCTGAGATTTGGCGCTATACAAATAAAACTGTATTGAATTGACAACCCAGAGACATTTCCTGTCTCAAGTCGGATGATTCACTGCTTCAGAAAACTTCAACAGAGGTCGCGATTCTGGTAAAAATAGGAACCATTATCTGTTTTTTGCCTTTAAAAACAGAAAGAGTCCACACACCGCTACACTCCCAGCAATTTTAACATCGGTTTTTACATGGAACACAGATCTTCGCCAGGTGCATTTAGCCCTGTGTTGCAGCCTTTTTGTCTATTTTTTGCCTTTAGTTTTTTGGGGGTCCAGCACCTGCATCAGTTTTGGGGTGTGTGCGGCCAACGTTCTGCTAATCATTCTTTATTTTTACCTTCTGTCCACTGAGAGGCTACCTCCGTTTTACAGAAACACCCTGGTCATGGTCACACCAGGAAACTGCCCAGTACAACCAGTCTGACCGGCTGAGGTTCAGGGCACTCAGTCCACCCATTAACACCATCAGTCTAATGGTGTCCTGCTTACAGGAGGCTTATGGAGATCACATCACCTGCCCTGTTCCTACTGAGGAAGATGAGGTGTCACACCTGTGTACATCACCTCCTTGTGTCCATCCCCTCCCTCTGATTGTTCATAACCCCGTTTCTCACACACTTGACTTTTCTTTTTTCTTTGTCTTTATGTATTAAATTCAACAGGTGACGCTGGATAAACAGTCACCTATCCATCCTAAGCTCACCTCTCTCCAAACGAAACATCAAAGTTCTCGACGCGGATATCGTAGCTGCGGTTCTTCCCTGATTGGTCGACTCGGGTGTCCTTCTTACTGCTGGCCTGACTGGCCGATGCCTCCTCCAGGACTCTGGAAGGGGACAGGTGAGCACAGGTGTGTATAGGTGAGAGATACAGGTGTATACCAGTGAGGGGAGTTGAGAGATACAGGTGAGGGCAGCAGGTACTGACAAAGGAGAGCAGGCTTTCTGAGTGTCCTTCTCATTTCTGCGTTCATGTTTAGCTTTCAGCTTTGCCTCTGCCTTCTCCAACTTCTTCGCGTCCACTGTCTGAGGAAACAGACAGGAAGTGATACGATCAATTACATCATAGCATAGCAGTGTTTTTATTTAACCATCAGATGTTGCATAAATCATGTTAAAATCTAACAGACTTTAAATTTAACTTTTAGCTTTTTATAACTCTTTTCATGTGTATTTACATTTGTGCAGGTTTATATAAGTAAAACATGAGTCAGTGTTGTATAGTGTTGTCATTTTCTCACTCTGAATGTACATTTTTCTCCATTTATTCATTGAAACGCTAAAACAATATAAAATTAAGATAAAAACAAAAATGCATGATAAATGAAATTATATAACATAATTTAACTCTGGGGTTTTCAACCAGTGGTCTGTGGCCACCTGGTGGTCCGTGAAGACATTGCAGGTGGTCCCTGACCATGCATTCAATAATGTACTGTAGTTTCACTGTAGGAATCTTTAAAACACACACAAACACATTTTTTCCATGTATTACTTATGGTTTGTGAATAATCTAATTCATGCAGATATATAACATTTAGAAAAGCCAAGGTGATTTTCAGGAGTAATACTGTGCCCTTCCAGTTTATCCATCCTACAACAGTGGTCCTCAGACTATATCTTAAGCTGAGCAGACACTGTACGAATTCAGCCCGATTTTAGACCCACTTCACTCACGCATGAATTTTGGTCTGACCAGCGTGAGCAGGGTTCCGGTGCCCGTTTTATGACCTGAACGACCAACAATTCACCTCCCGACCGCTCGGACAGATTTCACCTTCAGCCTTTAATCAGCTTTACTGGCTAGGTTTGTTAAACGCATGAGGAATTTGACTCCGGTACAGTGGCTCTCCGTGTGCATGTACAAGGCAACGCACAAAACAAGATAATACTGAGAGAACAACACAGAAAACAAACAAGAAAAAGGAATGTGCATTAGGGAAATAAAAATAAAGTACTAATAAATATAGAAATATATATACACACATACAGTTTAGATGCAGTTTTTCAGATAGATATATACAAAAGTACATTTACAAGGTATTGTATGGCATGTCAGAAATCTGGTCGGCTGTGTTGCTGATCCACAGTCCGAAGTTTGTTCTCACTCAAGTGCACTGAGCTAAGACAACAACAACGTGGCACAGACAAGTTATCATATGTTGTGGACATACTCAAGGGAAACGGGGCCATAGACTGCATATCATGTATATATAAAGCATATATGGACAAGTCTAACTGAGCTCTGGCAGCGCCACACTGTCCAATGTGTCATCAAAACATTGTAGTGATCTGCAGCAACAGGAGAGATACTGACCGCAGATTACCGCTGTTCATCAGCTGTACAAAGTAAAATGGCTAAAGGTAACGCTGTTTTTCTTCTGGTTGACTTTACTGGACACACCTGCTCTGGGGCTCCATTTAAACATCTGAGCCTCCAAAGCGACGTTGCGGATTGTGGGGGTGAGGTCGGGCCGATTTAAAGTACAGTGCGAGTTAACGCATCGAATACAGTCAATAAAAGTCACACAGTGTCTCCCTGGCTTTAGTCAGAATGGTGGGCCCTGCGTCAGAATTGAAAACTGCTGATTCAAATACTTAAAATTATGTAAATAAATCCAGTGTAATCAAATACACATAATCAACCACAAACATGATGTAGGTTAATTAAACCAATTACTTACTTTAAAGACTACACTTTCCTTTTTACTTTCTATCAACAGAAGCTTTAGGTCAGATACATCAGTGGCTGTTCAGAATGATCCCTGGAGGACCAACATGCTCAGCCTCTTCACCGTGAGGTCGACTTTTTTATTTTAAGACCAAGTGTTCTTTCTGGCTTTTGACTCATTACCGGAGTCCAAAGGAGAGCTGCACAAGAATTCCTATATGCCTAGACTGTTTATGCATACATGGCAAATAAAAATCTTGACTTGACTGCTCTGCAGCAAATCTGACTTCATGAAACTTCACAGCTGAGTATTTTATTACACACGGTGTAAATGACACCATTACAGATGCAAACTAAGTGGAGTTTGCATCTGTAACTCCACTTAGTAGTTGTTTGAACTCACTGAAAACCTGACTATAAACACTAGCTATAAACAAATCCCTAAATTATACCTTGCTCATTTCATTTACACAGCTCATTCTAGCATTTGTTAGAAAGAATGAATAAGTTAGCTATCATCAGTAAGACCAAGCTAGAGATGACACCAGGTTTTAAAATGTAGACGTTTCAGATTAAACCCGCTGTTATCCAGCATTTTGCTGCAGGCTGCTAAACATTTTAATCATCTATCACTAAGTCTCCCATGCTCTGACCTGGGAACACTAACTGTAAATCCAAGTGAAAATGAAATCAACACTGACACACTGGGTGTAGCAGGTGAAGTATGAAATTTGAGAGACCCACTGTGTTCTGAGGACGTTTCATCATCCAGATCCCCTGAACGTCTTTGGCTGCCGACTCTGAGGAGGAGAGACACAGTTTAACACAGTGTGATCTAATGTACACTGCAGTACATCAGGTAATTATCTCTGCTATACATGAGTTACTGCTGACAGTACAGGGTACAGCAGTACACATATACAATACATGTGATAGTCCATATATAAATGACCATGATTTTAAAGTGTAATGTTTTTGTACCGGTGTTTGCAGAGATCTGAGAGAGCTGCACCGGAGCGTCCAACAACACCTGCCTCGGACAGCCATCGTGGTTACTCCTGATAAACACAAAGCAGAACTATTATTCCCAAGAACAACAGAAAGAAGCCCAGAAGTAGTAAAGACACTTCTGTTCCCAGATTAGCTAAGAGAAAGGACCGATGCCGGTCCCAGTAAACAAAGAGCAAACACCCTGCAGAAATGTGCTCACACTAAACACTCACATGAATTCCTAACAGACAAACAGGAACAAGATTAACACCAATGCACACAGAGGAAATGAACACTCCAGATAAACACGGAGGATAAGATATTCTTAGTAAACACAAAGAGAAAATACTGTCGCTACATTAACCCTGACAGACACAGTGGAGACTTATTACAACATGGTGTTCATGGTACAATTACATTGTACTGGGAAACACGTTTCCTAACTGTGCATATGACAAAATAAACACTTTGAACTTGGTGTATTTGTCCATATTTTATACAGGATTATTTAGAACGGGATGATCGGACACATGAACAGTGGGGATGGTTTCTGTAGCTGCAACTAATGATTATTTTCACTCCTGAGTCCCACTTGGTGTTTGAAATGTCAGAAAATAGTGAAAAATGCCTGTTCAAATTTTCTACAGCTTTTCAACTGAACTGTTTTGTTCCATCAACAGGTTTTCCTTTACTATCACAAAAGGTGAAGAAAAACATTAAATGTTCACTTTTGAGAAACTACAACCAACAAATAGTAATTCACTTTTGGCTGTTTCCGTTAGGGGTCGCCACAGCAAATATTCACAGTGACGACTTGCATGGTGAAGTTTGGCATGTGTTTTACACCGGATGCCCTTCCTGACGCGACCCTGAATCAAACCCGGGCCGCAGCGGCGAGAGCACTGTATCCTAGTCACTAGTCCATCAGGGATCTCAAACTACAACCAACAAAATATTTGGCATTTTTGCTTAAAAAGTATTTTGTTTTTCTACTTGTTCAGAATCCAACCTGTGTACAGCCTCCGTTTAGACCTCTGGGACATGAGAGAATGACACAAACAAATTTTGTGCGTAACACCCCTTTAATAAGCTCATGCTCTCTGCACAGTGTAGACATTTGAAACCTCAGCTGGGAGCCTGAATCATAACACCACCATGCTGGAGAAGTCATGGTTTGTCCTCTTACAGTTTGAGAGTGTTGAACATCTGGAGACAGATGTCTCTGATGTCATCCTCGTTTTTACTGTCAGCAGACACTTCCTGCAGGACTCCTCCGATGGCGTCGTACACCTCCTCTCCATCCTCAAAATCTGCACTGCTGCTGTCCAAAACACCTGAAACACACACACATCAAGACATTAGTAGACTTTTTTTCATGCAAAACTGTTCTTGGTTAAGCTATAAATATTTTAGTTTATTTTTTACTTTAATCTATTATTTGTATTGCAACTGTTCTGTGCCAAACATGACTTCATGAAACCTGACAACTCAGGATTTAAAAAAAATAATAAATTTGACACATGATGTAAATGACAGCGTAACAGATGCAAACTAAGTGGCGTCACCAAGCTAGAGATGGCACCAGATTTTAATATGTACACGTTCCAGATAAAACCCACTCTTATCCAGCGTTTTGCTGCCAGTTACTAAACATTTTAGTCATTTATCAGTACCATGAAATTTGGTTCTGTGTCTGAACTTCAGCAACATGAACCGATAACAGGGGTCACATCCAAAGCTCAGACAGTGATCTCTGGTCTAGGGGGAAATAAAACAGCTGACAGAGGAACAGCAGCAAACAGAGAACACAAAGCACATTCCCAAATGTCTTTCAAGAACAAAACAACGATATCCAGTAGTCTTTATAGGGGTATCTCCTATAATGGTCCTATAAAATCACACTCCTGTAACGCATTTAATGTTTCCGGTTGCACTGCTGTAACGTTTACAGTAACACTCCTTTACAATTTTCTGTAACACTCCTGTAATGTTTCTTCGAACACTCCCATAGCATTAGCTATAACACTGCCAGGGTTCCTGTGGGTCAGTTCAGCCGTTTTACGGGATTATTCTCTGTCTGACCCGGTTTTACGTCTAGCTACCCTGGGTGCCTGTTCTGAGTAAGGTCAGTCTGGTTAGCCTAACCACATTTTGCTCATTGGATACCTAGCTAAAGAGCAGCGGCAACCCGGTTAACAGGCAGATTAAACCCATTCTGTACCCCTCCGCCGGGACAACTGACAACAGACAGACCGTGGCTCTGTCCCTAACAGACAGTGCCTCTGTTCCCTGTCTCTCACCTGTGATATAGTCGAAAAGCTCCGAGTCAATCTGAGGGAACTCGCTCTTTAGTATGTCCACGTACGTAGCCATGATACCCGGCCCTGGTGGTGCCGCTATGCGCATGCGCTAATATGCGACGGCGCCTTAACATTTGGGGGATGTAGTTTTTATGTTCACATCAGAATCAGAATCATCTTCAATGGCCAAGTATGTTCGAACACACAAGGAATTTGACTCGGGTACAGAAGCTCTCAGTGTGTTTGTTGGCAACAGGGAGTAGAAAATAATGAAAATGTATAAAAGGTGTGCATTCAGGAATATGTGCAATCAACTCTATACACACACACACACACACACACACATATATATATATACACGGGGAGTGGAAAACAAACCTAGTGGCCAACGTCAGGCCAATTGCACAAGTCAACATCAAGTGCGGTATCTACCAAGGAGATGCTCTGTCCCCACTGCTGTTCTACATAGGCCTGAACCCCCTCAGCCAGATCATCACCAAGAGTGGTTACGAATACCGACTACGGAATGGAGCAACCATCAGCCACCTCCTCTACATGGATGGCATCAAGCTGTATGCCAGGAGTGAACGAGACATCGACTCACTGATCCACAACACTAGGATCTACAGCCAGGACATCGGAATGTCATTCGGACTGGATAAGTGTGGCCGAATGGTAACAAGGAGAGGGAAGGTAGTCAGAACTGAGGGGATTGTACTACCAGAAAGCAACATAGCAGATGTTGAGGACAGCTACAAGTACTTTGGGATCCTGCAGGCAAATGGGAACCATGAAGAGGCTGCAAGGAAAACGACAACTAACAAGTACCTGCAGAGAGTAAGACAAGTCCTGAGAAGTCAACTGAATGGAAAGAACAAAGTCCAGGCGATTAATACCTACGCCTTGCCGGTCATCAGGTACCCCGCTGGCATAATAAGCTGGCCAAAGGAGGAGATAGAGGCCACTGACATCAAGACAAGGAAGCTCCTTACAATACACAGTGGGTTTCACCCCAAGTCCAGCATCCTGAGACTCTACACTAAACGAAAGGAAGGAGGCCGAGGATTAGTGAGTGTCAGAGCCACTAAACAGGATGAAACGACAACGATCCATGAATACATCAGGAAGATGGACCCGAGTGATGACGTGTTTAGTGAATATCTCAGGCAGCAGAAACCAGAGGAACTAGGGAAGGAAGAGCAGGAACCCTCATGGAAGGACAAAACTGCACAGTATGTACCACCGTCAAATACAAGAAGTGGCTGATATCGAAAAATTCTACCAGTGGCTGGACAAATTTGGACTGAAAGACAGCACAGAGGCTCTGATCCTGGTAGCACAGGAACAGGCTTTAAGTATAAGGGATCTAAGGGATCAAGAACAGAGGACCTAGAGACCTCATGCAGATAACTAAAAAGACTGGAGAGCCAAAGAACAGGAAACAATGAGCAGACAGTCCAGAGACACTATGTTACACCAGGTCATTGATCTTTACACACTGATTAATATTTATGAGGTAGGTGACCTAGCAGTGCTTAATGCAGATGCTAGCTTTAAGTTTGTCTGTTTGTCTGTCTGTCTGTCTGTTACAGTTCTCGGGGCTCTATCTGCTATCTTTCTTTGTCATTATCTTGGGCCTGATCCTTTACTCCTCCTCATCTACCTATGTGGCCCAGGATCCACGAGTGTACAAGCAATTCAGGAACACGGGTAGCCAGCCAGCTACAAACCCACCCCAACTCAGCCCTGGAGTCCTGGAGCCCTCCGTCACCTTCACCAACCTGGGCACTGAGTTAGGAGATGAGCAACCTGTACGTGTAGCCTAAATTCATCTGGGGAGGAGTCAGCCTTGTGGATCAGCCCTCATTTGTATACAAAGAAACAGTGCTGACTGAGCAGGGTAGCTGCATGATCACCCAGTAAGGTACAGATTTTCATTTTATGGCCTGTGTGGAGGGACAGAATCTCCACCTGATCAGTGTCCAAGTTAAGACTAATTCTTTTATCCAAATATGTACCCGATAAATGAATAACCATAATGTAATGAAATCAAATTACAAACCAAGTAAAAACTGTTGATTTCACTGTGATCAAAGACTGTGAATAGACAGTAGTATTTATAAATTACCCTATGTAAATAGATGGTATTGTAATCATTTAATCTCCTGCTTTCTTTTATATCTTTCAAGAATGTTTGCACATAATACCTGTGCATATGCTTTGCTAAGTTGTATTAATTTCATTTCTGATTGAAGTTTACAATGTTTCTAAATCCACCTGCTCAAATTCAAGGACAGTCAGTAATAAACAAAGTGGAGTCAGTGAATACATACAGTATGCAGTAGTGGCTGGTGTGGGGATTACAATCTTTCACACAATTTAACAAATTTAGTACACTTTGTTGCCAAGTTACTACCAACTAAAGTTACTGAAGTGTTTTCTGCTCTGTACTTTGTCACATGTTGGATATTTTGTAGGCTGGTATGTAATGCATTTGATAATTTTTACACCTAAAATGCATTCCATACTTATTCTCCAGAATATTATTGTGACAGTATGACAAATGGTTTAAAACATCCTCACCCCTGTAGTTGGCCTCATCATTGTTGGTAATGAGGCCAACTACAGTCGTGTCATCCACAAACTTGACAATGTGGTTGGTGCTATAGGTTGGGACACAGTCGTGGGTCAACAAAGAGCAATGGGCTGAACACACACCCTGTGCTCAGCGTGATGGTCTTGGAGATGTTACTGCCAACCCGCACATTTTGTGGCCTCCCTGTTAGAAAGTCCAGCACCCAGTTGCAGAGAGAGGTGTCCTCTGTGGTGTCCTGCCATGGTAAGAGAAGAAGAAGAATCCTCTTTTATTGTAACACATACACCGAAATTTTGTTTGGAGCCGAGGGCCCCGGGCCGCTGCATGTGTGCCACCATCATGGGCGACTTCGGGGTCAGTGCCTTGCCCAAGGACACTTCAACGTGTGCACTGCAGGCCCCAAGATTCGAACTTCCAACCTTCCGGTTGGGAAACGACTGCTCTACCCAATTCCTCCCTTGTGTGAGGCATGAACATGCCTGTTCAGGATTTTGCATATGGATGACTGATGAACAGAGATGTTAACCAACTCTAATGAATCCTTAAGTCTCTAGCTGGTACTCTAGGGCTCTTTTTTTACCTCACTAAACGTTCTGCTCCTGTGGAGTGATCCCAGCTGGGAGCCCACTTCTAAGGAGTAGCCACAGCACCACATCATCTCTGTTTATAGACAGTATGTCTGACTGTGGACTGATGAATATCTAAAGTCAGTGAGGTGACCCTGTTCCTACCCAGCTACATGCAAACCAACAACTCTTGGTCGTAGGTCTTCTGAGATCTGTTTTTCACAAGGCCCGGTTCACATCAGCTGATGCTGCTTGTGAACAGCACACTGGCACTGACACACAACACACTGAGTGTTTTTATAAGTCCAATTCATTCTAAAAAACTCCTCCATTCTTGTTTCATTGATTGGCCTCCAGGTTTGCTAACACCTGACTCCAGCTGACCTTTAGTGACATCAGAAGCCTGGTGTTACATTACTTTTTTCACCATCACTTTGTAAGTTCAATGGTTGTGCCAAATAAAGACATGAAAGATCATGACTGTTCGTGTTTTATCGGCTTAGAACTATTGTGTTTGTTAATATTTGTGACTTTGGTGAAAATCAGATCGCATTTCATGACCAATTTATGCAGAAAATCAGGAAATTGTAAACAGTGGCATTACCTTTTCTTGTAACTGTAAGTAACTCCCACTTAAATAACATTTATTTATTTATAGAAGAGTTTGCACTGTTATATACAAAGATCAAATAAGAACAGTGAAAATAAATAATTATGTGGGGTTTATTATTCTACTGTAATTTGTGATAACTTTTTATATTGTGTTCAAATGATTGTAATAATAATAACAATAATAATGACGTTTTTTGTTTTAAAATTTTATTCACGATATCAGTGCTGTTATTGGACATTTAGTATTATAGCACACTGAGTATTATAGTGTATGTAGTATTAGTAGGGTTACACACAGATTTTAGTACAGAGTATTAATATAGCTTACCTACGGTGTTATAAAGCTACACCCAATGTACAGTATATTATACAGTATATATACGCAGTGTTGCGAAACTTACAATATATACACACTGTATTATTGCACTTACAGTACATAGACACACTGCGGCAGTACTATGTGTTTGGTTAATAAAAACTAATAATCTGCTGTCCAGTCCTATCCGCCCTGACGCCGCTTTGCGCATGCTCCCATTGGAGTTTAGGGTGGGAGAGTTAGCCGTTAGCACGGAGAGCTAACAGCCGGAGTGTGTAATGGCGGCCTCGGTGTTGTTGGGGTCTGCGGACAACACCGGACTCAACTTCACGGTCGGAGGCGGCAGCAGCACGAGGAATGTTCTAGTGGGGAATAATAACGGACTGGGACCGGCGGGTCCGGCGCCCTGGAACCGTTCTCTGGACCGCGCGCTGGACGAAGCCTCGGCCACCGGGTGTCTGAACCTCAGCGGCAGGAAGCTGAAGGAGTTTCCCCGGAGCGCCGCCAACCACGACCTGACGGACACCACCAGGGCCGGTGAGTGAGTCAGAGACCGTGGACGTTACACGGGAGCAGGGCAGGTCTCTGTAGGGTCGTTTAAAGTCACTTAGAGATCCTTGATTGGACTTTACGGCGAAGGAAATAAAAGTCCATCTTTAGTTGGTCTGGAGTCTGGAATGGGAAAACAGTCAGGGTTGGTGTTTTGACGAATAATGTATCCCCTAAAAATGTTCCCCTGTCGTGATTCCACTGTTTCTGTTTGTATTGTTAGGCGAAACGCTGTCAATAAAGACTACAGACAGAAGATCAGTAGACTAAATTATGTCTTATTTATTTCTTAAGGTCTTTTGTAGACTTGATGACCACAACTAATTATTTCGAGTTTACAACATGATCCACTCATTAGCAGAAGCCAAAGTGAACGTAGCGTTAGGTAACTTTAGCTAGTTAGCAGCTCTTAGCGTGGTTAAATAAAAACACTCACATTTTCAGTGTTTTCAAGATATCGAATTGTTGCTAAACGATCCACAGACTGCGATTTATTTCTTTTTCCGGTGTGAAAGTGAGGTAAAAACTCACCGGGGAGAGGCGGGGGGACACAGTGTTTTGGGTTACAGTTTATGTCATTACACCTCTGAGTTTCCTTAGTGGAAGAGGCGGTTATTGATGGGTACTTTAGCCAGCTAGCATGCTACCTCCGCTACAGAAGTGTTCGTAGACAGTGTAAGATAAAAATGACAGAGCGGAGTTACTATCGCGAGCACTCGGCTAGTTCATTTAGCTAAAGTTAGCTGGTTTATTTAGCCGTCAATAGCACGGACCGGGATGAAACGCGTCCAATCGACCAGTCCCGGATTCAGGGTCACCACCGTCCAGTAACAGCCCTCACCCCGAATTTCTTACGTTAGATAGTAAAAGTAAGCACACACCTGTTTTGTTCAGTGTGTTTGATAAGATAATGAGGCAGGAGTGAATGAAACGCTGCCCCGCCCACTCGAGATCAACGGGCTGGCAAAACAAACGTAGCTAAAGAGGTTACCTGTGGACCCCTGGATCACGTGCTTAGCAAGCGGTCATGCTCCTCATGGATGGATAGGTAGCGATGCAGTTACATACAAGCTTGAGATACTTTACAGTCTACCACACATGAGAGGGAATTATTGTACTCTTTTATTTTTAGTTACTGCTAAGTGAACAGGATGTGTTAGACACGCAGTGCGCTGCATTTATTGCTCAGTTCTCTGTCTTCCTGCCTGCATTTACTTCACTGTACAGTTAGTCAAGTAATAAAGCAGTCATGGGACAGAAAATTAATCAGCAACTACTTTGATTAATTGTTTTGAGTAAATAAAAAAGGAAGCAAAATTCAGTTTCCAGCTCTTCAGATATGACCATTTCCTTTGTGTGCTCAGCTGTTTGTTTATGTCAGCAGATGTATACATGAATGTACTAAGTACATGCATGTTTAGTAATACACACAAACTGATTGATCTTGTATTTTAAACCTGTTTGATAACTATGCAATAAATGTGGTGTAATGTAACATCAGCTGTGTCTGTGCTCAGATCTGTCTCGAAACCGTCTGCCAGAGCTGCCTCTGGACGTCTGTCTCTTTGTGTCTCTGGAGAGTCTGAACCTGTACCAGAACTGTCTCAGGTCACTACCAGACAGTCTGCTCAACCTGCAGGCCCTCACCTACCTGAACCTCAGGTAGCACATGCGCACACCCACACACACACACACACACACACACACACACACACTACCATTACCAGATCCCCACACACACTCAGACCAACACTGAATGAATGTTTCCCACTAATTCCCTGTTCCCCCTGTGGCACAGAGCTGCCCTGTTGCTCCTCTGGAAGCTGCTCATGTCTTAGATTACTGCTGTCATTTATTCACATTGTATCAAAATGTCACTAAACCATGTAACTAATAGAGATATAACACTATATAAATTAAACATTATGATTATAGTGACCAAAATGATCACAGCAGTATTATTACGGTACTGTTAATGTGTTGAACATATTCAAAAAGTACTTAAACTTAAGGAAATTATGCATTTAAGGTTTTAAAACCACAAATAACTATTAGCATCACTGTGTATTGTGTATGCATAAACTTAAAAAAAAATTGCACAGCCAACAGCTGCGGCCTCCTGTAAACACAGGAAAATGTTTCTAATGTGGGTTTGTGGGGTACTGGGTTTGTCCGCCCTGTGACACGCTGTAAACAAGGGAATAGCAAATGTATTATTAATAATTATTATTATTATTGGTGACATTGATTGATTGATTGATTGATTGATTGATTGATTCTTTCAAACATGCAGACAGAACAGAACAGAACAATGATCAAATGACAATAACACACATGATTACACATATCCAACCAATACTAATTCAAAATCAGTTTGCTTACACCTAATACATGTTTGAATGGAGTAGGAAGAAGTCAGACTTATCCAGTCCTACCCCATAATTCGACGTCCAGCATATGTCTAACCCTTGCCAATATCGATATCGATATAATCTCTCTTAAATACACACTTTTATATTCAGTATTCTCTGAAGGTGTTGGAGACCCCTGCTCTAGTTTATAAGGATAATCACCTTTATTTGGCCAAGTATGTTACACACAAGGAATTTGTTTCCAGTACAGAACCAATGGCAGCCATCTGCGGCGCCAACTCAACTGATGGCTCTAACCATCGGGGGCAACGGGGGGGTTCAGTGTCTTGCCCAAGGACATTTCAACATGTGGACTGCAGGCACCGAGATTCGAGAACTACCATGAGCAGCTGTTTCAGGAAATTGCGGAGTCTTTTTAAAACTATTTCTGAGGTGTTTTTAACGATGCAAGTCTTAACGTGAGATTTGATGATAACAATAAAAACGTGGAATAACAGCAGACTGATGGTTCAGATGAGGAGGTGCTGTAACGCTGTGTTTTGACTCATCTGTTTTGTGTGTGTCCAGTCGAAACCAGCTATCTGTGCTCCCTGCGGTCGTCTGCAGTCTTCCCCTCAAGGTTTTGATTGCCTGCAACAACAAACTGGTTTCTCTGCCAGAAGAACTGGGACAGCTGAGGCACCTCACCGAACTGGTCTGCCTCATTCACTTGTTCCTCAAACTATCAGTCAGATATTTTATCATATCATATGCATCAGTGTGAAATGTACCATTTGCATAATGATTACTTTTACTGTTGATAATTCAAGTGTATTTTGATACTAATATTTTTTTACTTTTCCTGAAGTAATATTTTGGATGCAGGACTTTTACTCATAATAGAGTGTTTGTACACTGTGGTATATCTTCTTTTACTTCAGTAAAGGATCTAAGCACCTCTTCCATCACTGTGGTCGATGTGAGGAAAAACTTTGGTTTTTCAGGTCATTCATTTGCTGAAAATGCCTTGAGAGCTGCAATGCTTGGTCTATTAATTGATTAGTTGAATGACAAAGTTAAACATCAGTAATTTTTGAAATTTTTATGCTGTTGTAACTTTCTTCATCTCATGTGATTTTTAGGATTTTGGGGGTGAAATCACTTTTTTTTCTCTTTTCTGTGTTTTTACAAACCAAACAAATAATCAATTAATCATGAAAATAACTCACAAATTTACTAACAGTAAAAATTGTTGTCAGTCAGTTAAATGAATCCTGCAGGCAAACTGCGACTATAAGTAGAATTAGAGCCCTGTTTTGATTTTATGAATATGTGAAGGATCACTACTTTTTGTCTTATTGATAACCAGTTATTGCTGGTTGTGTGCACTGCCCCCTGCAGGATGTGAGCTGTAATGAGATCCAGACTTTACCGTCTCAGGTGAGTCGGCTGGAGATGCTGCGCGACCTGAACATCAGGAGGAACCACCTTGTCAGACTGCCCCCAGGTGACCTACAGTAACACACACACAGAACAGGGTGAAACCACTTTGATCCTTACATGTGAAGCTGGATTGTGAGTGATTTGTGTTGCTCTGCAGACACACACACACCTGCTGTGAGAATAAACTTGACTAGACAGAATAACTCAAGCTGTGTCCACATCTCAGTCCTTAATGCTCAGCTCTGACCTTGTTGTGTCGCTGCTTCCCGTTCGTGTGTGTCAGTGCCGTGTACCCGGCTCCTCAGCTGCCACACATGCACAGATATGAAATGTGAGCCAGGGGCACACAAGAATAACAACCAGGTGGTGTGTGCGATGGTCAAATGGCCCAGTTTCCTCCCAAACCACTGGGTTACAATATGTTCCTTCCAGTTTGGCCTGATCAGAAGCTTCTCCATAAATTTCCACCACATGTGAAACGGCCTGGTCTCTCCACTGACCCCGTCGCTGTCCTCCATGTTTATTGTTACCGGTCTGTGAGGGGCCGATGCTGAATGATGACGACAGGCCATATGTGCAGAGGAGGAGACGTTAAAACAACCACATGGATTGTGATTTGACCATTCTGACAGCGCTGCACAGTCAGAGGTTGGAGAGGAATCGGGTCTAGGAGCACATAGGCAGGTGGCCCAGATCTGGTCTGAGGACATCTGGTCTGTTCACACTGCTGTGGACACACCATGTCTGGGTCACTGGGAGGGAAACTACAGCTGGGATGTGGACACGGCCACTGTGGCTGTGCAGAAAATTCACTGACACCAGTGGACTCACTGCAAGTTGTGAGTGAATGTGTCTGTGTACGTTCAGAGCTGGCCGAGCTCCCTCTGGTGCGTCTGGATTTCTCCTGTAACAAAGTGACCTCCATCCCCCTCTGTTACCGACAACTTGCACAGCTGCAGACCATCATTCTTGACAACAACCCTCTGCAGACCCCACCTGCACAGGTAGGAAGTGACATCATCGGTGTCCAGCTAGAGGCTCCTGCCTGTGACCACAGACAGTCACGTTTACCACAGCACTGTCTTCTGTTTCCTCTGTGTAGATCTGCATTAAAGGGAAAGTCCACATATTTAAGTACCTGAACCTGGAGGCCAGTAAGATGACCCCTGATCTCCCAGACTATGACCGACGACCTCTGACCTTCAGCTCCTGGTCTGAACTCATCCACTACTCGGACACACACACCCTGCTGCTCTGTGAAACAGTAGTCAGAGCTGACGGAATGTTAACAACCATTATCACAGTCGATTAATTACATGACAGTAGTAACACTAGACAAAAACAGGTTGTGCTTGATTTGATTTGATTTATTCTTTCAAGCATGTAAAAACAGTTGATATGACAACACACACTTTTACACATAATCCAATATCAATTTGCTTATACCTAGTACATGCTTGAATGGAGTAGGAAGAAGTCAGACTTATCCAGTCCTACCCCATGACATCATCTTACCATCATTGGTTTGCAAGCAGTAAATGATTCATTCCTACACACACACACGTATTATACTAAAAAAAGATTATAACAGTGTTAACATTCTTACATCACACAAGTAATATACTAAAGAATTATTACAAAATGTACACCACACCCACAATAGTCCATCTAATTAATCATTGAGCCTGTTCTTGCATATATCTTGATTGACACATACCTTTATATTTATGTTTAAACTCATCAATTCTATTACTATTTTTTATGTCCACACTTAAGTGCTTCTTCAGCACTTCTGTGGGTATCTGATAAATTTATGGCTGCTGGTCACAAAATCCACTTTTAAATGTCCCTGCCACATAGAGTTTTACTGAGCTCTTGTCTCATGATATCTACTTCATATTATACAATGAAGTTTGACGTGTCACTGACGATTCAGTTTGTGAATTTACATAATCTTGATGCAGTCAGTGATGAATGTGGAAGGTTTGACCATGAGTGCAGCTGATTGCTGCTGGAGAATGAGTGAAAATCAACATGCAAAAATACTTTGAGTCCTGTTTAACCTCTGCATCAGAAACCTGATGCAGCTGAACACATTAATGTCAAATGTGTTGGCTGTTTTTCTCTGTTCTGCACCACTCTAAACTGAATACCATAGACTGTAAGATGCTGTTCTCACAGATTTAACAGTCAGCAAACATGGCAGTAAATGTCTGTGTGTCGTTCTGTCATTGATGACAGAGTCACTCGGGTCTGTTTACTGTGTGACTGAAGCTGTGCAGTTTTGTGGGGGCTGTGTCTTACCATCACTGAAATATCCCTCGTCTCTGTATCTGTCAGTGTTGATGAGCTGTACCCTGGCCGTCCATATGGAGCCTTGGATTCAGGCTTCAACAGTGTCGACAGTGGAGACAAGAGGTGGTCTGGGAACGAGGTTGGACACTCAGACACAGTCATGGTTTAACATGCCCTCCTTCACTTCCCATCAGCACCTGCTGTCAGGCTCTACCAAAGCTAGACTCAAGACCACGGGTCCTCCAACAGCTGTGTAGTGATGCTATGTTGGTCTTACAGGGCCTACACCCAAATTCTTTTTCTTTCACTGTCACTTATATATATAGTGTTGCTCCACAAATTTTTTTTTCCCCAACAGAATTCGTATTCTGTCTAAAAACTACTTTTTCTGCTGAGATGTAGATGGTTGGTCTGTGTGGATTCAGATGTTTGGTTCAGTTGAATGCTGTGGCTGTGATGTGTAAAACACCAGACCACTGTCTGACCATAGGTTCAGTTTGTGTTGCTCGCACAGAGCTGCTGCCGCTGTTGGTTTCTCTAAAGCTGCAGCGACTGGTCGATTAGTCCAGGACTTCTCTCAGACATCCACCTGAGTGTTCACAGGGTGGGAAGAGCACTGAACCTGGAGACAGGGAAGTAGACAAGGGCTTGTTAAACCACTACTGACCCCCCCCCAAACATGTCTTCTCTCTGTGCTTCCTTCCTGTGTGTGACCTCACTTCCTGTCCTCTGTGCTTACATGTCTGCAGCCCACAGAGGAGCTGTCGGAGCTACCGCAGAGAGTGGCTGAGATCAGCAGAGAGCAGAGACAGAGGCGAGAGGACGGACGAGGAGGTGGGGGAGGACCACTGCTGGCTAATGGGACATGTGAGTTCATCAGAGCTTCTGCATCTCAGAGCTGGGGATCAGTCCTCACTATCTGCTAATAATTTTAGGACTAGGAGTGAAATCGAGTTGTCTGCTTTGTCAACATGTGAAATGCCTCCTGTTTTTTGCTGACATTCAGCAGAGGTTAGTGTTTGTTTATTTTGAACATCCAAATCCCACCTATGCACGTCTGTGTAGCTAGCATCAGACCATGTCTGTGGCAGTGTTTCACTTGAGCTGAAACATGGTCTTCTCACATCGACTCGTCTTCACGTCAGGGGGCCCCGGGTGAATTCTAACTGCATCCTTCCTCCGACTCTGTGTGCAGTCACGCTGCCTCTAATATTTCCTTTGCACACAGTCACAGTGATGGGAAATGCAGCTGATGATTTAGCTCCATCACAGCCACCAGTTTCTGCCAGACAGCAGGCCGGCATTCCGCACCACAGGCGAGACGTGATGTTGCTCTGCGTTATCTATAATGTAAATGTTTCGCTGGTAGTCTACAAGTCAAAACAACAAAGGCAGGAGAGATAAGTGTGGATGTAGCTTTATTGGCTCTTCAAGCATTTATTTTACTTCACGCAAAATTGGTTAGCGTTTTTCTTGCTATGTGTGCGAATGTCATGTGTAGTAACTGCAGTCAATGTATTGAGGCTGTGTCTACAGACCTGGATGAACTGAGTGACACTGTGACATCGTACGTCAGCTTTTGTGAGGATGTGTGTGCCCACCAAGACCTTCTGCACATACAGCAACAAGCCCTGGTTCACAGTAAGACTCCAGCAGCTTTGTCGTGCTGAAGAGGAGGCCTACAGACGTGGGGACAGGATCCTGTACAGCCAGGCCAGGAACACACTGTCAAGGGAGATCAGAGCAGCAAAGAGGAGCTACTCCGAAAAGCTAAAAGCTCAGGTTTCAGTCAACGACCCCTCGTCTGTGTGGAGAAGCCTGAAAAACATCACTGGATACAGTTTACTCTTGTTGCCATTTCAAATTAAGGGGATGCCAACTTTTGCTCTCAACTGTAATTTACTACAAGAATGCTGCTAGTAGTACCTTGCTACAGGTGTACTTTTCTTTTCCTGTTGGTTCAGTGTTGGCATATTTAACCTTCCAATTGACTCGCTACATCTGTTCTATTTGTTTTATTGATGAAAGTTATTGGAAGGAAATTAAATATGGATCATTACAAATAATTTGCTTTGAACATACCAAGTAATCCTACAGCGAGGAAAAAGTCCTGTATAAAAAAGATGCATAGAAAATCATTTTATCATTGTGTTGCAGTCCTCTGAATCGTATTCAAATGGAATCATGAAGTGTCTAAAGATTCCCACTTTTCCATTGTCACTGTCACACAGGACTTGTAGGATGTGCCACTGATGCAGCCTGCTTCTTCGCTCTATGCTCCCTCTTCCTCCTCCTCTTCCTACCATTATTATTAATTTGAGTTTCAAGCTGTTTACTAATGTTGGCTCCATGTTGTCACATAGGTCAGTTCACTGCTGATCTGTCTTAGTGGCTTTCTGTTACAGTGTCTCCTGTCTGTGCTCACCAGATGTGGAGCTGGAGCAGATCGACTTCATAGACAGCTGTGTGGGGGAGGAGGAAGAGGAGGGGAGGAGTGGTGGGGGTGGAGGGGGGGACGGCACCAGCCTGAGCTCTCCGTTCATGGCCTATATCGAGAGGCGTATCACCAGAGAGGTAAGAAATGTGTCTGTCAGCTCAGGTCACATGGTCAGATTCTAAAAGCTGCTCTCTGATTGGCTGGAAGCAGGACAGGTGGTGGTGTTTTTTTTCCATCAGCCAGGCAGCACTGATTCACGGCTTTGACTGTCAAACAAAAGATATTTTCTGACATGAAAACTGTTAACAGCAGACAGCAGCACTTCCTGTGACTTTGACTGCTGCACAGTTGCTCCCGAACAGCCAAGGTAGCACCTGTACAGGCGTCCCCTCTAAACCAGCCTCTGACTGACCTCTAAACTCTGCTTCCTGTTAGTTCCTTCCAATCTCTCTAATTTTCCCTCATCCCCTGTTCAAATGTGACTCTTGTCCTCAATGCATGCTGGGAAAATTTTCTCAGCTTAGTGTCCTGTCTCAGCACTCTTGGAAGCATTTTATTTTCTAAAGTGCTGAGTGACTTCCTGTGTGTGCAGGGTTCTCCGGTCAAAACCAACATGTCTCGGACAGAAGACACAAGGAGACACAACAGGTACACTTTGTTCCTATAGTTGTGAAGAGCTTCATTAACATAAGCTTACTCTAACATAACCTAGTTCTAACCTGAACCCTGAAACCAAATGTGAACCCTCAAACAGCCCTTTGAAGGGGTGAGGACCGGACAACATGTCCCCACAGTGCAGAAATGTTCTCGCATGTACAGCCATACAAGAAACCAGAATTAAACACTCGCAGAGCACCACCTGTGTGCTGTCTAACATGCTGTCTGTCTCTCAGGAGTGTGATCGATGGTGTCACAGCACCGCCTACCACCCAGAATCAGGTAACACCTTGTCCTAGTGTCTGATTAAACACCCTCAGCTGCTGAACGCAGGACAGTTCAGGACTTAAACCATCAGCTACAGTCTACTGTTCCTGTCTCCCCCACAGAGAGGAGGTATTGCAGGTCCAGCGGGGGTGGAGAGGATGAGGAGGGAGGCTCAGCTTGCTGCTCTGAGGTACGAGGAGGAGC